GCCAGCCACAACAGTGTGAATTCCTCAGGGAGGTGCCAGTCTCATCCTCTTGTGGTTCCCACGCTCCTGCGGCGAGCTAAGAAAATGCTCGTCTCCCTGAGCCTGGCCTTCATAATTCCATTCCATCACAGGTGACCACCTATTTCTGGTAAGATCCAAGTAGAGCAAGATATGCTTCATTAAGAGATGTTTCATTAAGACACGGCGGACCATGCAGAAACTACAGACAGTCCTCAACTTACAACCATATTAGGGATTGGAACTTCCATCACTAAGTGACGTGGTCACTAAGTGAGTCATGCCTGATTTTACCACCTTTTTTGGCACAATTGTTAAGTGAATTACAGTCAAGAAGCAAATCCAGCTCCCCCATTGACTTTGCTTGTTGGAAGCCCCCTGGGAAGGTCAGAAATGGTGATCACATAATCCTGGGATGCTGCAACCATCATAAATACATGCCAGTTGCCACGCACTTGAATTCTGATCACGTGACCGTGGGGGATGCTGCAATGATTGTAAGTGCGAGGACTAGTCGTAAGTCACTTTTTCCAGCGCCATTGTAACTTCAAATGGTCACTAAACGAATGGTGGTAAGTCAAGGACTACCTGTATAAAGATGTCTTCCTGCGGAAGCCTTAGTTTCAAAGACAGCCAATGCAATTGAGCTCCCAGTGGAGTGCGCTCTAATTTCCTGCTATACAAGTTTGTTCTGTGTCTTATTCATTTATTTATTAATCAAATAGGCTATTCTGATGGAGACCTTGATCCACATGGTTATCATGGTCACTGAAGCTTTCTATCCCAAGTAGGACTATCAGAAGGCTACTAGGAGACTGTCAGGGACTATGAATTCTTCTGTTCTTTGAGAGAACCTGATAGCCCGTCTGACATCTAGCTTATGCCAGTCTCTAGTTGGATCTTAGGGTTAGGGCAGAAGAAAAGATGGCTTCCTCACCTGGTAGAAGACCAAATTCATAGAAACACTGTACAATTTGAAAATGGCCACGGAGATCTAGTCCAAACCCCTGCCAGGACAGGTATCCAGCACTACAGCATCCTAAAGAGATGGCCATCCAGACTGTTTAAACCCCTCCAACAAAAGTCAAGCAGTCTGTTCTTTGTTGAATAGTACTTATTGGTAGGTAATTCTTCCTGATTTCCAACTAAAATCTATTTACAATTTAAATCCATTCTTCTAAAACAACTTTGAATAATTCTGCCATTGTCTAGATGATGGGCCTTCAGATACAGGACAAGAGCAATTACGTCTTCCTGCAGCCTTCTCCAGGCTAAATGTACCAAATACTTCCAAATGTCTGTTAACTTTTTCTTTCCAAGCCTTCTTGGTTGCTTTCTTCTGGACATGGTTCAGTTTGTCAACTCCTAAAATTCAATTCATTTCTGACAGTCACCCAATTGAAGTCATAGCTACTAGGCCAAAAGAGATTCACCATTCCCCAATATTAGGACTGAGAATGATACCTGCTTGCAAAGGGTGCTGGATTGTATATTTTTGTCAAGGTCAGCCTGTAGAAAAGTGAAGACCTGGGGGTGAAGGTTGACAATGGCAAAATTCCTCTCCTTTTGATTCATCTATAAAATGCTCACCACATTAATTTATCTATGTGGATGACAGAGGCCCTTTGGGATGCTGGGATGGTCTGTATGGCTTTGTTGTCATATTCTAGGCTATTAAGTTTGTTCTGCTCAATCTTCAGGTGCGTAGCTGTAAATAGCTATGGTCTGGGCGGTTGAATCCCCCCTCACTTAGCAGAACTGGAGTGATTTCATGGTCAGAATGCTAGCAGGTTGAATATATCTGAGAATGAGGATCTTCTGAGCCTGTTGGAGGCAACTGGTATAACCTCCTCTCCCCAACTTTGTCATAGGTGCAGAGAATTAGTGGAAATGGTGGGAAGGCGTACAGCAGCTTTCTTGGCCAATTGGCCAACTATTACGCCTGTTTTCTTTTTTGGGAAATGAAAGATGTAACATTCCATCTTGCAACTGATGAAACTTGTGATCTATCAGAGTACCCTAGAACTGAGGCTTCCTTTTGCTGGCTCTTGGTCCTTGTGGCTGAGCCAGTTTGCCATCATATTGTGGATTCCCTAGACAAGCTGTCCCATAAGAAACAGCACTTTTTCTTTTGCCAGTGCAGAAGCTTCCTTTATTAGCTGTCTTAATCTGCTGCTTCCTTCTCTCCAGATGGAGTTTTGGTGGTTATGTTTTTTGTTAGGAGAATGTACTGGCTATTTAGAAGTGCTAGAACCTGCTCAGAAATCGCCATACAATGCACACTTCCAGATTTATCTTGCTTCTTCTTGTTCAGACTCCCTGGGCTATAAAGCCTATACAGTTAGCCTCCCAGCCTGACATTTTCAACCAGAGTCACTTGTTGAGATGGGTGGCTATAGAAATCAATCAATCAATCAATCAATCAATCAATCAATCAATCAATCAATCAAATAAGGCTCCTGGCTGCCATAGCACTGATCAAGTTCCCTTCTGATGCATGCAGTACAGAGCATGTTGCTGAATTGCTAGAGGCTGGCATGCTTACTTGCCCTCAGCATTTAGAGTTCCTTCACTGCGTCCACAAACACCAGACTGCTGTTGGTGAGCTTGCTGGTCATGAGTCCCCTCCCAAAATTATGAAAAGAAAAACTAAGTAGAGGAAAAGAGATCTCAATTGACAGTGTTGTAGTCAAGTTGCAGAACTTGTAGGCATGTGTGCTCTCTAGAGCAAGGGAGGGCAGGAACTGGGTGCAGAGATATCTGCTCCTGCTGGAAGCAATATTAAATGTTTGTAGCCCTGCCTGAAGTGGACTGAGAAGGAATGCCCTGGCTCCACTGTGGGTAGATAATGTGCATTTCACAACAACAATTTAATTTTTTGAAGACAGAAACAGCAGATTTTGTTAAGCGTCTAACAAATTCTGGCACTATGTAAAACACCAGGGGGAGAAATTACCTCCTGCCCTGGGAGTCAGGTTTTATTACCTGATGTCTTCATCGGTCACCATGAAGGCTTTGCAGAGAGGCTGAGAAGTGTTTAGCCAGACCCCAGGGTTTTTCTCAACAGCAGCAGAAAGCTGTCCAGTGATGGGCATTGTGCTGGTATGTAAGGCACTGGCAATGGCCGAAAGGAGGGTCTCATCGGTACATCCAGGTCCCACACCTAAAGAGGTACAGCAGCAGAACAGTTAATAAATGCCTCTTTCTGTCTTTTTGCTGATACTATTAGGGAATTCCTACTGATCAGCAATGTCACGTTTAAGACACAGGTATTCTCCATGACATCCTGACAACAATACCTGGTACTAGCTAGAACGGTGAGCTGAGATTTGAGTTTAAATCCCTACTCCACAATAAAGCTTTTTGTACTTTTCTAAAAGTTTCTTTTTTTCCCTTCTTTTTAACCTCTTGGCCTAAAAACACAGCTAAGCCTTTCCTATTTTGCAGAAGGCAGAGCTAACACTGAGATGACAGGATTAGCCTCCAAAAAGTTTATGCCCTTCCTTCTAGGCAGAAGAGGTAGAATTAACTCTTTCCTGTGGTCTCCATTTTCAGCAGATTGAGAATCAACAAGCTTCCCTTCCCTTGTTGTTTTTTCCCTGAGGATAAGAAAAAGAGGGGCATAAAACAAGCTAATGTGTATCATCCTATGCACATCCTACCCGAACAATGAGATTTTTAAAAATGTATTTTTAACAAACATACAGGCAGCTAATCACCTGCATGGTTATGGTGATGCACCTTAGTAAGTGCAGGAAGGAAGGAAACTGAAATCTGAAAGGACTGGATCACTTCTGGAATGGAGTTTGGGAAAACAGCAGCATATTCAAAAGGCTGGCTAAAAAAGGAGTTTCTAGCCAGAAGCTCTTCCACGCAATTCAAGGATTGTGAATGAAGGAGGTTTAAAGCTTTCATTACTGAAATTAATATACAGATGAACATAAATGTTAATCTTCTTTGTGATGGCATGCCAGCTTAGGAAAAGATTCACTTTTGCATCTAGCAAGTAAAGATTTATTTTTGGCATCACACTAAAGATTTCTCTGTTCACCCAACCTATCTGAACATTTGTTTTTATGACTGTATCATTCAGTTGATTGACATTAACTCTGCTTTAAAAATTCATGCTTATAATAAAGCATCATTACTTTTAAAATAACGGTTAAATGCTCTGAAGAATATTTGATGGTGGAGAAGTGGGATGTAAAACGTTCCCAAATAAAATAATCATCTTCGTGATCTGAGGAACTTGGTCACTGCCACCAGCAGATCCATTCTCTACCAACACCTGTGAAAAATACCTTGCAAACCCTTTGGAAGGTCCATTGTTTTCACCAGCTCCTCTGCAATATCGAAGGCATTTAAGCCACTTAGTTTCTTTTCCCAGAAGAGCTAAAAAGAGAAAAATAATTAATTTGCTGTAAAAAAAAGGGGGAAGGGGCAGTGGGGAAGGGGAGAGAAAAGCTATGTGTTTCCTCTCTCAATACAGGAAAAACTGTTACATATCTTTAAGAAACCTGCAGTATGTCAATTTTTTCATCTCACTCCAGTCTTATTCCAGTCTTTCCCAGTATGCATCCCTCCTAATATTATTCAGTGTTAAAGCATTTTAACCCGCTGACTTTGAAGATTCCTGAATGGAGTAAAAATGAACCCCAGCCCTCAGGTTTATCATGTAAAAAGACATGTTACAAAGGGATGAAGGGAGAAAAGTTGGGGCAGGGAAGCAAATTCAGGAACAAATTCTTACAGTGACCAAATGTAATGCAGGAGAGCAAACAACTCAGAGAGGAGAAATCAAACAACTTTCAGCTTAAGCAAATGGAATGGCCCAGCTTTCTGTTCTTCACATTTTTGTAACTGAGTAGAATGGCTGCTGGTTGAAAGCTGAGGGAGGTAGAGTTTGGAGGATTTATATTTTGGATTACAACTCCCATCAGCACAAGTCAGCATGAATAATATTGGAAATGATGTAGTCCAAGTTATCTGGGAGGGCACCATGTTGTGGAACATTGGATTTTAACCTGATGGTGGCTTTCCAGAAGATAGGTCAGTCTTCCCATCCAAGATATTTTTAAATTCGTGGATTTAAAATCAGGGGCATGCAAAATTTGTCGACTTGAGAATTCAACGTTTCAGACATCCAGAATATTTTGTTACCTTCCAGACCATGCCATTCCTGGGGGCGGGGAGTTCAGCAGTTTCCAGAAGTAACTCTTCTGAACTGGAAGTGGTTCGAGATGTTCCGGGGTGGTCTGGCCCAAAACGAGGCCCATTTTGTCCAGAACACCTTGAATCATTCCCAGTTTGGATGACTTGTTTCTAGAATATGCCGAAGCATCTCCCTTGGGAGAGAAATGTGATTTTCTGGAGTTTACCAAAATGGCCCACTCCCAGATTGATGAATTTTGCACTTCTCTATTGGACAGAAGATGCCAGGGATTTAACATGAGATCTCCTGCATGCAACATACCTCCCCAAATTTTTTAAACAATGATTGTATAATTTTTGTTGAAGGCTTCACTTGAAAACTGGGTGAAGTCAGAATCTAGCTTTAGAGGGCATCAAGGATTTTCCCCCTCTTAAACTCAACTCAAGATACCAAAATATGCAAAACAGGGGCCAACATTTTTGGTCCCATCCACTTGGGTTGGGACAAGATGCTCTGAGCTAAAAAATGGATGCTGGCAGCTTGCATGCAGCCCCAAGGTCTACTTTTTGCACTTTTAGTTCAGATTAATCTGAAAAGGGAGAATCAGTATGAGCAATTTTTTCCTACCTGAGCTAGGTTTTTTCATGTAACCCACTGATTATGGGATGTCCTTGGAAATAGTCTAGAACTCGCTAAGTGCTACTAAGATGGAACCTCAGAAATTCAGAAATGTTAACTTCATGTTCAGAGACAGTCTAAAGCTGCTAGAGGATGCAGGAGTAGGCTGGCAATTTATACTCCTTGCAGACATTCTTGTAACATCTGGCTAACCACTCCTGGAATAGGATGCTGGATTAGGTGGATCTTTGGCCTGATTTAGCAGGACTCTTTTTATGATCTTACAATAATTTAGTGTGGTATAATGGAGAGAGCACACTGACTTCAAAGTAGAGATCAAAGTTCATATTGCTGCTCAGCCTTGGTCAGGCCTCTGCCTCTCAGTCTAGCTTTCTATGAGATCCTTTGGTAAATATTTCAAGGTAGACCTCCCACCTCCCACTCACGTCCCTTACCTGTCGGGGTTGGTCAACTGCCTTTTGGGGGTCAGTCTTCACTTTATTGCTGGGATGATTTGTGATCTTAGTGACTGGTTGTTTAAAAATTGAAGCTGTCTGCCTGACAGGAAGCGTGGTGTTTAGATCAGGTTTACCCTAAAGATTTTAGGGGATGGGAAGGGAGGGAAGGGAGCCATAAAAGAAAAAAAAAGTTTTCATTCAGAAATTAAACTAAGATCTCTGTCTATAACATAATGGAATTTATGGTGATGCAAATATGTTTTGAATCAAATTGTTTCTAATCTGAAACACCCTGCGTGAAATGTGAATCAGCTGTGAATGGGCTATCTGAACATTTTTTAGCTAGAAACAGCTCTGTTCTAACTGCAAAACATTTGATTTTGAGTTGGAACAGTTTCAAAATGGTTCAAACTGGCAATTTTGCATTTGAAGTGGTTTGATTCTAAACATTTTCAAGACTCCTAGAATTTAAAGTCTACTCAAAGTTAAATATGTCTTTATAAATATCAGATTTTTAAAGTTACATGTATCATAGTAGGGAAGTATGTGAAGGGGAACATTAACCCTTTCTGTATGCTGTGATTCTGGAGAAATCACTCAATTAAAGAAACTTTTTTGACTACGATGAATTCTCTTCACCGGAAGCAATAGGGGATTTTCTTGTCAGGAATCCAACATAAGGAAAGAGTTGTTTTCCTTTCACATGCTTTGATAATGAATTATCAGCTTCCCCTCCCAACACTATACACATTTTTTTTTAAAGTACACGGAATGTTCTTTAGCCCCATCTTAGTTCAAGCCTTAGATCAACAGCTTGACTTCATGTAAGGCAACTTTATGAGTTTGAGTATGTGTGTACAGCAAAGCCATACCAACATTCTGATGCGTTTTAGAGTGATAAAAAAACTACAAATTAGTATAGGTCCATGAGCATAAGGGTGGTTATCAGTCTGAGGTGCTCTAGTGGATCCTACACTGAATGGTAGAGCAGATGATTTCTAAGTTCCAGTTTTGATTTTATAACTGGAGGTGCAATCAGCCATACTTTCCTTGTGAGTTCTAGGGTGATTATAAGCACTTATCTGTTTTTGTTACTGCCATTATGATTATGATTTTTGATGCAGGTTTTTAAAATAGTTTTAATTGCTGAGATATCAGTTTGCTTGTACAGTGGGGCAAAAAAATATTTAGTCAGCCACCAATTGTGCAAATTCTCCCACTTAAAAAGATGAGAGAGGCCTGTAATTACACGACGAGTTGAGTATAGACCAAAACGTTCTACTTTGGTTTCATCTGACCATATGACATTCACACGACGAGTTGAGTATAGACCAAAACGTTCTACTTTGGTTTCATCTGACCATATGACATTCACACGACGAGTTGAGTATAGACCAAAACGTTCTACTTTGGTTTCATCTGACCATATGACATTCACACGACGAGTTGAGTATAGACCAAAACGTTCTACTTTGGTTTCATCTGACCATATGACATTCACACGACGAGTTGAGTATAGACCAAAACGTTCTACTTTGGTTTCATCTGACCATATGACATTCACACGACGAGTTGAGTATAGACCAAAACGTTCTACTTTGGTTTCATCTGACCATATGACATTCACACGACGAGTTGAGTATAGACCAAAACGTTCTACTTTGGTTTCATCTGACCATATGACATTCACACGACGAGTTGAGTATAGACCAAAACGTTCTACTTTGGTTTCATCTGACCATATGACATTCACACGACGAGTTGAGTATAGACCAAAACGTTCTACTTTGGTTTCATCTGACCATATGACATTCACACGACGAGTTGAGTATAGACCAAAACGTTCTACTTTGGTTTCATCTGACCATATGACATTCACACGACGAGTTGAGTATAGACCAAAACGTTCTACTTTGGTTTCATCTGACCATATGACATTCACACGACGAGTTGAGTATAGACCAAAACGTTCTACTTTGGTTTCATCTGACCATATGACATTCACACGACGAGTTGAGTATAGACCAAAACGTTCTACTTTGGTTTCATCTGACCATATGACATTCACACGACGAGTTGAGTATAGACCAAAACGTTCTACTTTGGTTTCATCTGACCATATGACATTCAATTTGCACAATTGGTGGCTGACTAAATACTTTTTTGCCTCACTGTATGTATCAACAGAATCAGTCACATTAGGGAGGTCTATAGAAGGTGTGCTATAAACATTAAAAATAAATAATAGGAGCCTTAATTCATAATATCTGAAGTCAACAAAGTTAAGTGCTGTTACTTAAGTCTACAACTGCTACCCATTCATGTCTATGAAAAACAACATATACAGTGCAGCTTAGTTGATGACTGAGGGCAAAGTCTAGCCCTCTTAGACAAGGAGGGAGAAGCCCTAGCTTAGATATGGCATTTACTTAGTGTACAATTCTAGGTTCAATCTCCAATATGTACATTTAACAGCTAATGTGCACCTCCATCCTGGGAATATGTAACATTGACCCCCCACCCACATTTCCCCTCCATGCTTTGTCATAAAACAGTAACTTGGTCAGTAATAATAAACTACAGAAAAGATCTAAAAATGGAGTTCGCCTAGTCCACTCTTTTTGTTCAGTTAGTTTTGCTTTTAAGATCATTTGGTTCAACCAGACATTTTGCTTAGAATCAAGAATCTTAAGATATGTTTTTGTCTCCCATTTGCTGAGATGTTGTTTTAGAATTTTTAATTGTTGCTTACTTGCTTTGCAACGTTGGTTGTGAAATCTATTTTAACCATCTGCTTCAAGTACAAGTTATTAAAGAAAGAGCATTAATGACAAAATAAGTAACTACAGTTAATAAGCCATATTTCTTTCCCTACAGCCAACAGGGTATCCAAGTTTTAAAAAAAGAGAAAAGTTCAGCCTCACCTTGGTTTGGCTTGAACAGTCATAGCGCATCCTTTGCCGGTTTTTGTTCACCTTGCTCATTAGCATCTTCCCTGTTCGGAAGTCAAATGTGCTCAAGTCCATGGAGTTGCCCAAGTAACGCGCCAGCTGAGGCTTGCTGCGGAATTTCTTCCCACTTGGACTGAGAAATGGACAGAATTTGGGGGGTGGGTGGAAGGAAGAGAGAACAAATTCAGCTTTTGAATTCTGGCCAGCATGTGTTAGAATTATAGACCAAATGCAGCAATTAATTTTGGGCTGCTCTGCACCTATCCATGCAAAACAGTAATAGCTTTGTTCCAGCAGTAACTGAAACCCTTCCTTCAGCTCAGTAACTACAGATGGAACAAAGCTAGTTAGCAGCAAGTCACTTTCCCTACTGCTGAGGACAGGGTGGACAATACAATGTAAACAGAAGATCACTGGTGAAGTTACTGCTGGAGTTAAGCTTTGTAAAGGGGAGGGGTAAAAAACTTAAAATTAAGAAGAAAATACATGCTTTTCTAGAAATATGAGACCTGTGCAAATGCTTATTACAAACAGAAATGATTCAAAAACTACTATTTCAGCAGTATGATACAGGCACGCTAAGAAAAGATTTTAGGCAGTGGGTATGGTGTCCTCCTGATTTAAGGCCTGCAAGTCATCTGTGAGGAAAATGTCCCATGTGAGTTATTATGCTTTTTTTTTTATTGTATGCAGAAAGCATTTCTGGTCCTCTATTCGTCCAATCAAAGATAAAACAGCAGCTGCAAAGCGATGGAACCAATTCTCCACGCTTGCCTGTCTTAAAGGTATGCTGGCATTGTAAAGTTTTCCATGGTATCATTCAGACACTGTTTACAAAAAAAAAATAGCTGTCTGCTTTTCTTTCACTCCTTTATTTAGAGCGTTACTTGAAATTCACAGACTTTTGAGAACATACATGGGTTGCAGGGGGGAGGAAAAGGGGAGAACTTAAGATGAATACATCACAACCTATTCAAACTGGGTCGAACAGCCTCCAGATGCTGCTGCACAGGCAACCTGGACTCTTTGTTCTTTTATATTCTGTTTTGCAAGGGAAAATGTATCTTTGTCCCAATTACATGCAACCTCATTTCCATCTCCTATTGTCTAGCTTCAGGAAAGCACAGAGACATTTCATAGAACCTAGGAAAAATAAGGGGTTTAATTAAAACAAAAGCAAAAGTGTAACTATGGATTACATACAGCAGTAGTTTTCAAACTTTTTCCCTTCAGGGATCATCCTTTCTCGCTGAGTCATCTGCTAGGTATCCAGAGTACTTCAGAGGGTTTTTACAACGTAATTTATGTCTACCAAGCCTTATTATTTGCATTCATACTCAATTCTAGTGGACACCAAAGTCTTTACGTGGCTGACTCTTACAACAGACAATAGCAAGGATGTTCCAATTTTTTTTCAGAAATAAAGTTGCCATTCCTTATTTTTTCATTAACAAACTTAAGTATTAGAGGAATATCAGAGAATACAACCTGAAAGTCACTGGTATCAAGAGTACATCAATTTAATTATGATCATTTGTACAACACACAGAATGATGAATACGTGGGATTGCCTAGAGTCAGACCACTGATTCATTGGCTTAGTACTGTCTACTCTACCTGGCAGTGAATGCCCAGATCTCAGGCAGGCAGAAACTCTTCTCCATCACTTATACAATTCTTTTAACATCAGATCCCAGCATGCAAAGCACCTCCCCCACTGAATCACCACTTTTCCTGAAGATGATAAACTGTCTTGCCTGGGTCACATTATTATTAATGCATTCTTTGCTCTGATTCCCCATAATTCCCCAAGTCTCAAACACAGATTTTTCTCATTACTTGCTTTCCCAATATCCATTTATGTAAACACAGCATCAAAATCTTACACTAAAACTATCAAGTACTTAAAGAACTTAAACAGTGTGGATGAAGACAACCATTATAACACTATCAATTACTTTAAGCATACTCAAAATAAAAGCTTCAATAAACCAATCCAATTTCCTACTCGAAGTAGCTTGAATTAAAAATCTTTAGGACCTGTTATGAAGGCCATGTATTTTTTTGGGCAGGGCCCTCATAAAAAAAGCCTTATTTTGTTTTCTAATCAACCTAATTGAACATACCAGTTGATCCATACATGTCTGTAGGTGATCTCACAAAAAGGCTTATATGGGGGAAGTACTATACCTTAGCTCACATTTAGAGCTCAAGAGCATAGTAGCAACACTTCAAATAGGGCCAGGAAATAAATAGGCTGTAAGACTGGATGAATGCACTCTATTATTTAGCACCAGGAAGCGTACAAGCAGCTGTACTATATAGTATTTGAAGCTTCTATATTATCCTCAGAGGCAAGCACATATACAGGTAGTCCTCGTTCAACTACAATTGGGACCGGAATTTAGGTCGCTAAGTGATGCAGTTTGTTAAGTGAATCATCATGTGACCAGACCCGATTTTACAGCCTTTTTTGTGGTGGTCATTAAGCGAATCACATGGTTGTTAAGCAAATCATGTGGTTCCCCACTGATTTTGCTTGCCCGAAGCCAGCTGGGAAGGTCACAATGGCGATCACATGTCCCTGGGATGCTGCAACCTTCGTAACAGCAAGCTGACTGCCAAGCACCCAGATCGTGATCATGTGACCACAGGAGTGCTGCCATGGTCATAACTTCGGGCATTGATTGTAAGTCACTTTTTTTTTAGTGCCATTATAACTTTAAACAGTTGTTAAATGAATGGTTGTTAAGTGAGCACTACCTGTATATCACATTTGGGAATCTTTAATGTTGAAAAGCAGGATAAATGTTTTATAACAAATGAAGAGTTTAGATGTAACTAGGGCACCCAAAGCCAGTGAAAGGCACTTTTAAGCTATAGTGCCACTTGGGTGCTTCCACAGATAGTACAAAATCCAGAGGGTGTGAAGCTACAAACTTTGGATGACTCCATAAAGTTATCGGCCTTGTCCGCCAGTACTGTATCCCATCTGTCCACACTGAAATTTTGTTTATCCTCATCTTTTAAGAAACTGCCTCCAGACACCTATTCAAGAACTCTAATCTTCATGGGATGAATGGTCAGAAATGGGAGGCAAAGTTGTTTGCCAACTCCATAACATACTCATTATACTTTAGCCCAATCCTCTAAATTGCTCTCTTCAGAGGTTTCATGTTGATTTTTAAAAAGCACAGGAGACAAGATGAAATCATCTAATACTGCAAACACCAAGTGGTATAGATCTCCCATCACCGAAGTATGGCCTGCCATAAAGGATTAGAGCCACTCTAACACGCTGCCCATGTCTCAATCCTATTTTAATTAGACAAGAGTATGATGAGCAATGATACAACTGAGAGATTCAGGAGAATTATGATGGTTGGACATTTACAGATCCAGATTATCAGGCTAAGATTGTTTCTTCCTCATATCCAAGTCAAACGTTAGAGTGGATCCAAGTAATAAGTAATAAGTATCCAAGTAATAAGAAAACTCCAAGGAATTGAGATGCCAGATTTCCTTGATTAGAAAGACAGAACTCTTGTGTAGGATGTACATATTTTTCCTTTTTGCTCCTGTCCACATACTTGACTAAAACATGCAAATCCCTTGGTCCATTACTCCTTTCCTCAGTGATCCCATGCCACAGCTCTTTCCTATTCACTGTTTCCTAACTGTAAAATACTTCTTTAACAACAAATCCTGAACACTTTCAGAAGCACCCCAGATACATTTCCCCAACTCAGTGCTTATAATTATTACTTACTCAATCAGGCCAATTAACCTCATCCTTTTACTGCAGATATGGAAGGAAGGGAAAGGAATCATTCTGAATGGTTCTAGTAATGCTTATCCTTAAATCCTAGCCCTAAGTAGGAGTGTACAGTTTGGTTTCTATTTCTACCTCAAAAAATGCTGAGCATTCATGCTCATGGCATTGTTCAGTCTTCTGTCAGCTATTTTTGGTGTTCTCCCTGTTGCTTTTATTCCTGAAGTTGTTGTAAAATTCTCCAAATCTCTGGAGTTCTCCAAATCTTTCAGCATCATGTCTATAATAGACAATGCTAATTGATTACAAGGGCACAGGTATTAAAGCTTTGCTCTGATCTGCACATCATCCTACAATTAAAACATAAAAACATACAGATAAGCCTAGACCAGGTATGGACAACTGATGGTCCACTGGCATTTTTTAAAAAGTTAAATTCACTGTGGCCATCCTGAGAGACAAGCTGCTGTATGTCTCCAATGCCTCACCAATGCTACCAGCTCCAGCACTGATGCCCTTCTGTTAGCCACCAAACAGCTGATCAGCATGCCAGGTATTCCTTTGCAACTCAGTGTTATTTTTAATTTATTAATGTGGCCCTTTCTCCTTTACATGTTGTGCACACCTGGTCTAGACAATTCTCAAGTCTCCGGATCATGATAGACTTTATTTCTCAAAGATGTTAAAAGAACACAAGTTCCAAGGCAGTCACTCTACCACCACCCAAAATATGGCTGCTACAGGTGTGTGTTTTTTTAAAACTAGTACTAAAAGTTATCAGACATCACTTAATTATACCTGTGATTTACATATTCTGCCTTCATTTCCTCTCATTTTCTGTGAACTGGTATCTGAAGGGTATGGTAAATTGTGACATTTTATAAGGTTATAAACATGTAATAATTGTATTGTGTTTCTCTATCCTGCAGCCCTGAATCCCACCTACACAGCTTCCTGAATGAGCAAACAGGAGATGCCATCTCACATCATTCTTCCATGAGGTTAGATGGCTGAAGACTTTTCATGCATTGGCAGTCTGGCATAATTTGATATGATATACCACCACCAGCACACTGACAAGGTTAACAGACAGAACTCAGACATAATGTAATTTGTTTAGTTCCTGCTTAGTGTGATGTGTAAACTCAGACTTATTTAACAAATCATGGTTAGGCAAATATGTGAACATAGTCACTAGTGTCTTTATGCAACAGACTATGTCTCCTCTGCCCCCCCCCAATAATTTAACACAGCAGTTGGGGGGGGAGCTGTTTTGTATTAGACAGACTTACAACTTCTAGCAACCCACCCTTCTGTCCCCCATACACCCACATAGTAGCATTTTGAGAGCATCCCGCCCTCGCCTACGTAACCAAGCTAAAGGAAACCAAGGTGGCAACAGCAACAGTACTACTCCATTTTTTTTTTTTTGGCAAACACACATCCTTGAATGGTTTTTCTCTACTCTGCTCCCTCTATCTCTTGATTAGCTTCCTGCAGTACTCCTAGTGTAGTGGTATAGCAAAGAAAGAGCAGCTGGGATGGCTCCTTATCCTACAAATTGGGGCTGCTCCTCATTTGCAAAGAAACCCAGTTCTCCTGTTTCTTCTCTCAAGACTCTATTGCAGTTAGGGCACAGCTTCTGACAGCAGTTATCACCCACAAGAAGTTCCAATGCGATTTAGAGTATCAACTCCCACATTTTTCCACCTGGTCTGTTGCCCATCCCTGTGGCTCCCTCAGCACCTTTAATTTTTCTATATTTTAAAACCTCATATTCTCTCTGTGCCAATCTTTCTCAAACTTTCTGCAAATGTGAACCATTTAATAAATATTAGAAAAATCCAAGCAATGTCTTCATCTTTAAAAGCATTTTTCAGCAAGTAAGGTATTATTGTTGTATCTGTGTATGTCTTCTGACATATATACATCTCCCATTTTAAAAGGCCCCTTAAGTTAAATTTTGTATCAAAAAATGAAATCTGAAATTAAGTATTTACCATTTGAAGTAGGGTGGGTAGGCTCTGCTTCATGAATGTGGAGAGGCTGTGGCAGACCACCTGGCCTCTGCAGGCCAGTTTGAGAACCACTGCTCTATTCATTGTAAAATACTATTTTGCTCCAGAGCCACCCCACACTGATATATCTCAAAACCCAGATGCAAAGTCACTGGAAAGGGCTAACATATCTTCACAGCCCCAAAGACAACAAAAGGCAGACAGCAACTTAGCTCCTCCACCCTGAAATAGGTGTACTCTGCAGGAATATCCTGCAATGGCAACAGGATTGTAATTCTTTAGCAAGTACATAATCCACTACCTCCCCACAATTCAGTGGGGGAAATCACTCAAATTGAAGCCCACATTTCAACTCTGATACAAAAGTAGTAATCTAAAATCAGCTCTAGTTGATAATATACACTAAGTGACTGGACTTTAAGATATGGTGGAATTGTCATTTGTAGTTTATTCTACTGCTCCGACCCACAGAGAAAGCCATTGGCAACCCCCCTTTCAAGCAGTTCTTTAGCTAAATACAGAACAAGAAACGTGTAGTTTATACCAACCCCTTTAAAAATGCTAAAGATGCCACTCTCAGCCCTGAAATGGACAGGACTTCTAGCATAGCACACATGCCAAGACTGGAAGTAACTATTTATTCCTTTCCCATTCATATACAGAAACCAGTCCCCCCCCCTCCACAACAGAACTAGACTTTCCACAGTAGCCACAAACAGGGGACAGGAAAGACCAGCTGCATCTCTTCCATGCAGAAAATGCAGACTGAGCAGACTCCCTTCTTTGTATGCATGTTTGCAATGACAGTCTTGTAGCAGCAAGCAAGCATGTAAAAATAAAGATAGGTGGTGGCGGCCGCAGTAGCCCTCCCATCACCCCCTCCATCTTTCCCGCTTCCCGCCACCAACCCTCCCTACCCAAGGCCCCTCCGCCGTGGCACATTCACCTATAATAATAGACATCACTCTTGCCAGCAGAGAGCCCCGATTTCCTGGTCACTTCTTCCCTTTTCCATCCCTGCGGGAGAGCTGAGCACTCCCACCTCTTCCGATCCATTGCTTCCACGATGTCTGGATCTGGTTCGAGCCAGCCTCCTCCTCCTCTGGCTCCTGCCTGCCTGCTTGCTCCAAGGTCCCTCCCAGCCAGGACTGCGGTGGTTTGTTTGCTGCTACTTGCTGGCTAGCTTCTGTTGCAGCTGGTGGCGACTGCAACCTCCACTCTGGCTTCCAGGGCGAAGCTCTTCCAGAGTGCCTCCCTCGGCTGGGACTGGAACGTTCGCAGCGGCTGTTCCTTTCAGTAGCTGTCAATCGCACCTCCCACCCCTCACTTCTCCTGCTGGATGGGGGCGCTGTTCCTTTTACCCGACCGCTGCGCCTCTTTGCTTGCATCATCAGCTCTTCTCAGGAGTTCCCTCCCCTCCCGCTGCTGTCTTCCTCATTCATTCCCTTTGCTTTTTCCTTACCACGCACGTGCGCCTCCCCTCCGCGGCTGTTCCATTCACTCATATTCCTCCCGCCGTACGAAGGAATGAGGTAGAGTGAGCGCAGGCAGCCGTTGGTGAAAAGCCAAGGAAAAAAGTCCATCTACCATCCCGCCAAATTGAAAAAAAGCACGCACATGGTATCCCTCCGCTTCGGCAAGAATATAGTCCTCCTCAGAGATTTTTTTTAAACCGCATATACGTGAACGGTTGTGATATACACACCTGCCCCCCATCAAAAAAATTCGATTCCTGCAGAGGCCTCGGGTTTTCTTATTGATAAATAAATAAATAGGCAACGCTTCTACGCTCAACCATCACCTCTTCACGATATGGCTCGCTCTCTCCCGCTGAGCCCCGCAACGAGGCAGATGCGTACGTGTGAACGCCGCCTCTCACTCTCAAACCGGGCCGCTTCCCCAACTGCCCCCTTCTTTAGCTCCCCATGAATCTTCTCCTGGACCCCCATCCAGGTAACCCCCAAATCTGGGACCGCCTCTCCAGGAGCAGCGCGGCTCTGCAGGCCGCCTTGAGCTCGTGCACGAAAAGGCGGGATCCAACCCCAGACGGATCCGCATGCGCTCATTCAAGTGATTCCCGTCTGCCCCGCTTTCAGCACTCCTCCCCACGTCCTGGCCCGCCGCGGGAGGCTCCTAAGCCTCCATCTCCCCATGGCCTCCATTGCTCCCCAGCCCCACTATCGCTGCCCGATCCTGAACCCCGCCTGGACAGGCCCCACGGGTCCCCCTTCACCCCCACGGAACCCTCGCGGCTTCTCCCCTCTTTGCTCCCCTCCTCCCACACACGTGCCTTCGGCGCCTCCGCCCCCAGCTCCCCCCACAAGCCGCCTCTCCCGCCCCGTTTTGCCCCTCAGCCGCTCCCTCCCGCAACGGCCGTTTGTTCGTGCTTATCGACGGGCGTTTAATGGGGTTCCACGACACGCGGGGCGGAGGGGGCCGTGTGCAAAGGCCTTCTCCATCAGGGGCTCCCCCGAGGCGGCCCGCTCGCTCCCCGGGTCTCCAAGCCCCTCCGCCGCCAGCAAGGCCCTTCCTCCCTCCCTCTCCGCCGGCAACCCGTCCCCTTCCTCCACCCCACTGCTCAGCCCTCTCCGCTCTTTGAAACTCCCGCCCCACAGTGTGCGCCGCGCCGACCCGCTTTCTTCGGCAACCCTGCGGGCCGGACCCCGATGACCTCCGGGTGACCCGAGACCCTCCTCGCCCGTCCCCCACGGCTCCCAGTCGCCCTCCAAGGGCTGGAGAACGTCCACTTCCCGCATCGCCCCGGCGCTCCTAGCACCCCTGCGTGCTCCCCGCCGCCTGGAAACGCATGGGCCTGTGCCCTCGCAACTCCCCTCGGCCCGCCCCGTCCCCTCCGCGCGCCCACGCTTCCACGGGAGCCCTGCCCCGTGCCCTATTCTAGCCTGCTGACCCATTGGACTCGCGCCCTGAACCTCGCCCGCGGCTTCACCCCGTCGCGGGCACACCACACCGCTTCCCCCTCGCTCGCCTTTGCGCTCACCCCAGGGGAGGACAGCGCGGGCCCCCTCTCGGCCCCCCGGGTGCCCCCGGAGCCTTGGCCATCTTCCTCTTCCCCGGGCGGTGCAGCGGCCGCCACGTGGTCCCAAAGCCCAGGACCCCCGCTCCTTTCGCCCCCAGAAGCCCCGCCCCGCCGGGCCAGCCCCGCACGGGGGATGGGAGGGGGCAGCGAGCACGCGAAAGCCGCCTCTCTCGCCCTGCAACGTAGTTCGGGGTTTCCCCTCTCGTCCTGCGCCCAGTAACCCTGGAAGTGGAACCGTCGGGCTTGCTTTTCTTCTTCTGTGCCTTTAAATCAGGACAGAGTTCAACAGGTGAGGCCTGCAGCGCTCCCTTCGCAAAACGCCGCCGTGCTGTGCACAATCTCTGCATCCTCTAAGTAGGAGAAGGGAGTAATACCTTCATCAAGGGATTTGGGGCTTCCCCGGCTCTAATTTATATATACATTGAAATTATAAAATTATGATTTTTATTATGCCTAAACGTTTTCAAGAGATTTCAAAAACAACATCGTACCGGCTAGCAGGTTAACAATCTTAACAAACACAAAAGAGAGCAAATGTGAAAAGAACAGGTATTTATATTTATACCCTTTTTTGCTCATAGAAGCATTCATGCTGGCTTATAACAATAAAACAAATATAAAACAACACAACGTAATTAAACTCAGTTAACAACTGAAACCTTAGTGATAGTGACACACCTTGCCATGTTCCTAAATACTAGGAGAGTGGGGGCCAAATGCTTCTCCCTAGGGAGAGCTTTCCATTAGGAGGTGCACAAGAGAAGGGCCATCACCATGTACCCTATAATTGAGCTTCTGGCTGGGAGAATATCTTCAGGAGGACTTTTCCTAATGACCTAATTAAATAGGCAGCTTCATTGTGGACAACAGTGCCATAAATATAGTCAAACCAGCCTTGAGGCCTGTGGGCTGCAAATGCCCCAGCTGGGCCTTCATTTTTTTTTTTTTTTATCTGGTCATGATTTATTATACAACCAGTGCATGGACAATGGGTGGGAGCAGAATGACAAATGGGTGTGGCAGACAATGCATACTGACTAGAGTGACCAGTAGATGTCAGCAGAGTTTCAGAAAATTCCCAACTCCTTGTTGCCATCTGCTAGCCATCCAGATTTTTGCACTCCATATCTGGAAGTCGAGGTACAGATGCAACCTGCTGTTGCCACTCCACGTATTCGCTCAGAGTACCCCCACCCACCCAGCTGCCACAACTGCTGTTTCTTGGTATAAGCAGCCTGTGTGTACAAGCCCAGGCACCAGAACAGATTTGCTCCCTCAAATGTAACAGTTACTAAGGTGGGGAATAGGGAGCTCCATCTGAAAGGTTTGCTTGGGGGCCTGGTGAGCCCTAGTTCTGCCACTGGTAGGAGAAGCAGCCCTTCAAATAGCCAGGCCTCCAGCCATTTAGGGCTTTAAAGGTCAATATCAGCACCTTAAACTGTGCCTGACAAGTGCAGATCTTTCAATACAGGCATCAATTGTCTAGCTGCTCCCTTTTGTACCAGTTGTAGTTTCTGAATTAAGTTTCAAGCATGGTCCCTCATTACTCAAGGTAATTTCTAAAAATAAAAATCCTTAGCTCAAATGGGCAGAATGGCATTGTGCTGTCTTACAACTTCAAGCTTAGGTGAAAGGATGCAAGACATTAGCCATCCATTCTGATGTGAGCCGCCCAGAGTCACCCGTGGGGGGAGATGGGCAGTATACAAGTTTGATGATAGATAGATATAGATAGATAGATAGATAGATAGATAGATAGATAGATAGATTAGATTTGATCACCATTGTGAATCAAAATTTCATTTTCTTACTTTAGCATTAGAAAAGGGTTATTGATTTTGCATTGCTTTATGATTATGTGCCATCAAGTTGGTATCATCTCTTAGTGACCATTAGATAGATTTTCTCCATGATAATCTGTCCCTAACCCGTTCTTTCGGGTCTTCCAATGGTGCACTCATTGCTACTGTAACTGAGTCCATCCACCTTTCCACTGGTCATCCTCTTCTTCTCTTTCCTTCTACCTTTTCCAGCATTAGAGCCTTCTCCAGAAAGCCGGGCCTTCACATAATGTGTCTGAAGTAGGATAATTTGAGCCTGGTCATTTGTGCCTTGAGTGAGAACTCTGGGTTGATTCATTCAATGATCCATCCGTTTGTTTTCTTGGCTGTCCATGGTATTCGCAGGAGTCTTCTCCAACACCAAAGGCATCAATACTCTTTCTATCCTACTTCTTCAAAGTCCAGTTGGCTTTATAGGAATTACAGAAAATTATCTGATAGATTTAATGGGTGAATGGGAAGCAACTTTAAGGTTAGTTGACAAAGAATTGGATACAACCTAAAATATATATGCCCTTACACTCAGTTCTCTTTTACCCTACTGTCTTGTTACTTGATTAATTATACAAAAATAATTTTAAAGCAAGAAAATGGCACTCTTCATTTACAGTTTTAATAATACTTGCATATCATGTATTAACAAATGCATTTGATAAAAATAAATTAACCTGATAAATAAGTATTCTTAATCATTGTAGCTATTGTTGGTTTCTCAGAATATTTAGAAAAATACAGTGGGGCAAACAAGTATTTAGTCAGCCACCAATTGTGCAAGTTCTCCCACTTA